AGTGCACCGTTTAACGACGAATCCGCATAGCGATCTCTTTTTTTAGATCGCTAATGCGACCACATTGCGATGTTTTAATGGGCAAAACATCGCATTGCGATGATCAGTAAGCGTTTCACTTACCAATCTTCGCATTTTGATGTTTTTTAAACAGCTGATCGGCGGTTCCAAAATGGCCACCGGGTGCCCAAAATGGGCGCCGCAACCATTTTCGCGCGGTTTCCTTGCTTACCGAGGGCGCAAAAATGGCAGCGCTATGGAGGATCTTCGCTGAACGGTGAGTTTGGGCCCCACAGGAACGCATTAAACGTTCCGTTTAACGATGTTTTCACATAGTGACGATAGTGATTATTATTCCGGAACGGATTAACGTCGCTATGCGGGGCACCACTGTATATGAATTTGACTAAAGAGATACAGATTAGCTTGGAGAGATGGGACAAATTAGAGCTATCGTTGATGTAAAGAATAGCAACCATCAGAATGAATGTTCTACCTAAAATTTTATTTTTATTTCAGACAATTCCCATAATATTAAAACAGTCTTTTTTTCAAGAACTTAACAAGATAATCATGAGATTTGTGTGGCAAGGTAAAAAAACTAAGAATAAAATCAAAGTAATGCAAGATGCCAAACAAAGAGCAGGTTTTGGTCTCCCAGATTGCGTATTGTATTATACAGCCTGTGTATTAGTCTGGATAAAAGAACGGATAACTTTTCAGTGGTTCTTAACCTTGGGTTATTCAAGTGTTTTGGACTGCAACTCCCAGAAGCCTTCAGCACCAGCTGTGCTGGCTGGGGTTTCTGGGAGTTGCAGTTCAAAAACACCTGAGTAACCCAAGGTTAAGAACCACTGCTTTAGATAATGACAGACTACTCAATTTGGAAGGACATGATTTAAAGTTAGGTTGGCATGCTTTTCTATGGTATAAAAAAGATAAAGAGCAGAAAAGTTTCAATTCGCATATGATAAGAACAGCACTACTAGGGACACGGAAAAATATCATCCAGCAGATTTACCAAAAAACACCAGGCTGGGTATCACCCATAGAGGAGGCCTTTACACAATCTAACCTCATGACAGAAGCGAAACTTTTAAGATTTCAAGATCTATTAAAAATGATTGTGAGTTAAAGTCCAAAGAACAGTTAGAAACACAAAACATATATCTAGACTGGTGGTCCAGAGCACAAGTGGAATCTAGGTATAGAAAAGATAAAATAGAGGGCTTTTACACAGAACAAACAATATTTGATAAACTTCCGCTGGGCTCAAATGATAAAGGAATTAAGAAAATGTGTATTATTATTTGCTTGAAATTAAAATGCAAGATGAGATGGTAAAAGAATGTATGATTAGGTGGGCACAAAATATAGGACATACTATTAATACAGTATTAATACAGCCGCCTAGAGTAATCTTAACTGATTAGATAGGCGGGATATAAATAAAATAAATAAAATAAATAAATTGATCAATGGTTGCAAATATAGAAAAATAACATAAAGCTCACAAAATCGGTACATTTCAAGGAAATACAGTATAAGATGTTTAATAGGTGGCATATGACTGAAAAAATTGTCAAAGATTTATACAAAGGTGTCAAATGTTTGTTGGAGGTGTGAAGCACAAGAGAGAAGTTTTTACCATTTGTGGTGGACCTATAGAGTAGTAAAACTGTATTGGATAGCAGTACAAACGAGGGGTGCTGACAAGTATTGAGCCTTCCTCAGAAAAAATTGAGCTGGGAAGCTGTAATTGCCACCCTATTCTACATATTCCCCCAGGAAGTCAATGCACTTGCGACATCTGTCCTGCAGCTTCTTAAGTTCCTGCAAATAAAATTCTTCTGACTGCTAGTGTAACCACTCATTTCAAGCATTAGTTGCCTCCAGACCACTCCCACCCTTTAGGTGTTTTTTGAGTTTGGGGAACAGATAATAGTCAGAAGGAGCCAGGACAGGAGAATAGGGTGGATGGGGCATCACTTGAAAGCCTAAGGTCAGTTTTGTCATTGTTTCACCTGCAGTGTGTGACGAGGTGTTGTCATGTAACAGGATGACACCTTTGGAGAGCTTTCCTCAACGTTTTTCCTCGATGTTTTGCCTCAACTTCGTCAATAAAGCACAGTAATATTTTGCATTGATGGTTGAACCCTATTGGAGGTAGTACACCAGCAGAACTCCCTTCTTATCTAAAAAAACTGTTGCCATTTGCTTCTGCACCAATCTTTGCACTCGGAACTTCTTTGGCCTGGGGGAACCATTGTGCCTCCATTCCTTAGGATGTTCCTTTGTCTCAGGATCATAACAGTAGATCCATGTCTCATCACCAGTTACCAGTTTGGCCAGGAAATCTGACTCATTTCTTGCAAAAGATTCCAAAACAACCACCGATGACTCCACACGTTTCCTCTTTTGTTCTGTTGTCAAAAGTTTGGGGATCTACTTTGCTGCCAGCTTTCTCATTTCCAAGTTGTTGTGGATAATGGCACCAACTCTCTCACGTGATATTCTCAGATATGTAGCAATACTTTTGGCTGATATTTGACGGTCCTCCATGATCATGTCATGGATGGCTTTCACATTTGCAGGCACAGAGACAGAAACAGGCCTTTCACTGTGTTTCTTACTTGCAACACTGACATGGCCAGTTTTAAAAATGACAACCCAATGTTTAACTGTTGCATATGAAGGGCCACTGTCACCCATAGTTTGTGACATTTCATCATGGATCTGCTTTGCACCTTTCGCTTGGAAAAACGAACGTGATTATGGTCCTATGCTCTTCCACACTGAACTTTTCTGGAGGTGCTGCCATGTTCACTTTGGACCTGAACATGAAAGATAAGTTAAAATCATAGGTAGTTGATTTTTTGCACCATTGAATCCAGACAAATTGGCCAATAAACCCTGCAATTTATAGCTTCCTAGCTCAATTTTTTCTGGGTAAGGTTCAATACTTGCCAGCACCCTCGTACTCTGTTACCAAAAATACTGCTTCGTAATGTTCCACTAACCCCATAATTGTTTTTACTGAGCATTATACCAGACAATGTAGATAAGACAAAGAACTACCTAGTTATATATATAGTCACTGCAGCCAGAATTCTTTATGCTAAGAATTTGCACCAATGAATCCAGACAAATTGGCCAATAAACCCTGCAATTTATAGCTTCCTAGCTCAATTTTTTCTGGGTAAGGCTCAATACTGTCCAATACAAAAGGCAACTGAACGATAGGATTTATTATATAAATGGCTTGAGTCACCAGATAGTGCTTGAAAAACATAAAATTAAACTAAGATGTAACTGTAAGTTGAAACCTGGAGGGCAATAAAATTGTAGAAAGGCAAAAAGTCAACTTGATATTGCAGCATGAACAGATCGGATGACAGTACTTTTTGTGTTCTCCTTCATCCTCTTTTTCCACCCATATCTCCCTCTACCTTTTGTACTACTTACCTTATCCCTAGTTGTTAAAAATAAAACAAAAATTTAAAAAATTAGACAACATTCAGAGGAAGAAGAAATGGAAGTACTTGCCTAGCAAGTGTCCCTATTGCTCCTATGAGCAACAATCTGTACATAGCTGAAGATTGGAAGTGTTTATAGCACTGAATTCCTAACCCCCAAAAAATAAACAGTAGTAGATAATGTGCACACAGACAAGTGAGCAAGCAACAGGACTGGCAAGGAGATTCCTGGGAGGATTCCTTCACTGAATTTAAACCAGGAACACAGTTCAAACACTTCTGTGATCCTGTCTTCTGCTGCCAGCTTTACTGTAGTTGTGAGCAAAGTCCACATGAGGTTTCTGAGAACTACAGTAGAAGCAAAGATCTGTGTCATTCAGTCTTTAGACCAAGAGACCATTATCAGGAATCCTGACAGCGGAAATACAACTTGCACAAAAGCACTAGTACCACATCTTGGGTTGCTGCTTTTAAATTACCGTAGGCTGGAATTTTGTGAATGGAGTGCCAATTAACTATCAAATACAGCTGGAATGAGCTGTCTCAGAAGCAGGGTTAATTTTTATGCTCTTTTGGAACATCTTTATTTAGAAAAAGCTAATGTCAACTTGGTGTAGATGTTTGGAAGGACTGTTTACTATATAAAAATTGTGGCACATTACTTAAAAAGTTGTCTTCAGTAACACAGAAAAATCTATGGAAGTATTTTGATGTGAAACAACGCATATATTCTTGGTGCTCTTTATATGTAAACGGAATAACTGCGTTTTGTCCAAAAGGTTTCTGGTAAATGGGAAGCAGCTAAAGGCACCTGCGGAAGGCAGGTTTGGACGCTTTGGGTGTCTTGCACCTTCAAAACGATGTGATAATTACTGGAAAGCTTCCCAGAAAGCTTTACTGGAAATTACAGCCCTGATCAGCAAACAGGGGAAATGCCGGGAGTAAACAAACCATAACTTTTGGAAAACACGTCCCATCCTTTGCGAGCTGGAATTTAACCCGACGAACTCGGGAAGAGGGCGCGGAGGATCCTGCCGGGAGGCATTCCTTGTAGGCACAGGATATTCCCAGACTTGGGGGCAAGAGAGATCGCGCCGGCAAGGCAAAATGGTACCTGCCCCGGAGGCTTCTTGTTCCGACCCGCTCCAAACACCTTTTTGCCCACCCGCTCCCCGGGCGTTCCCTTCTGCAGTATTCCGGGTAATACGGCCCAGTGTTTCTGGGAATAAGGCACTTCTACTTTCGTTCTGGAAAGGCCGGGAATTTCCCCGCGATACGCCGAGAGGATAAAAGGGAGCCACCAAGGAAGCCGGAGTTTTTTGCTCCGTTAGCGTGCTAAGCAGAGGGACGCCGCCGCCGCCGCGCCTGCCCGAAGAGGGCGCTTGGCTTGCCCGGGGCTGGAAAGAAGCGCCAGGTGGGTCGAAAAAAAGCGAAGCTGCCCGGCTCAAGGAAGGCGAAAGGCGGGAGGGTCCTCAGGCGGACGAGAAGCGCCTCTCCTCACGAGCGTCCACCCCGTCTCCTTACCATGGGACATGGTCCGCGCGGAGGCGTGCTCTCGCTCATGGTGGGGCTGCTGCCGTCGCGGTCGCGTCCATGGTGCTGTGGCCCCGGCGCCAAACCTTGGCAGCGGGCGGCCCGGCAGGCGTGGAAGCGGGAAATTAAAATGGCAAAAGTGGCCGCCGCCGCCGCCGCGCTCTCGTCTTCCGGAAGGGGCGAAGAGAAGCCCAAGCCGCGGCCGGAGCTCTTCCCTTGGCTTCGGCCGCGTTTTCCGTCCGGCAAATCGCCTCGGGTCCGGGTTAAAGTGATTTCGCTTTCCGATCGTGGTGGCCTGCAGCACGGTCACGCTCGCTCGGTTGCTGCCGCCGCCGCGGAGAGCCCTTCGCCACCTGTTGGGGGAAAGGTCGAAAGGCGTCCCGGTGTGGAGCGCGCCAGAAGGGCGCCGCCGAATTCTCTCTCCATAGGACGCAGCTGGGCTGCCGCGGCGTCTCTGTCGCCTCTGCGCGCGGGCGCTCTGGAGGAAAGCGCCTTTTGAGCGCTCCTCCGGGGTTCCCGGTCGAGAGGCGTGGACAGAGCAGCCGGGTGGGCTTTCTCCCTTTCCCGGCCAAAATGTCAAGGAGGTGGGATTAACTGATGTCTCGCTCCCAGATCCCTCTCGAGTGTTGGCAGGGGGGAGCCGAGGCTGCGCTCCTTGAGGGGTGGGAAGAACCATTCATGAAAAACCATTCCTGCAAGTGTCAGCTTGGGTGGGGTTTCCGCAAGGGAAACGAAGGGCGGGCGGCCAGGCGGGCGAGCGAAGGCTGAGTTTGCTCGCGAATTGACAAATATTAAACCACAGTGCTGGTTTGGTTTGGTTTGGTTTTCCCTTGCTGCGGTTGTTAAGGCTCCTGCTCTCTGCGCTGTGCTTGGGAATCGAGAAAGAGTCTTCCGAAACTGCAGTGTTTCAAGGGAGGGAAGGAGTTGCCCCCGCACCACTGGTGGCTATGCCACACATTAATGCATCTGACATGTGTTAATGGTGCACGGTGGTCCTTTTCCTGTTCTGGGGCACCTCATTAGATAGACACGTTTACCGAGGAAAGTTCCTGCCAAAAGGCATACAGACGGGATCAGATATTTCCGTTTTACTACTGCCTTGTGCTATTGCCTCCAGTACAAGGAAATTATTACACCCCCGTATAAGCCCTCTTAGCTGGTGGGCTATAAATAGAAGGCTAAACTGTCGTGAGTGTTTGCAAGCGAGGCTTTTATAATGCAATCACCCCGCCTCATTCATGGAATTGTACTCGTGGTCGAAAAGACACTAGCCTTGTGCAAGCCTGACACTATGAATGGTGAAATCAGGAGTGGGATGTGGGGATGGACCCAAGCCCTTTGCCACCTATCTCTAGCCATCTGGAAGTAAAGCCGACCCGAGTGCAAAAGTTTTCAAACATACGGTGCTGCTGTATTTTCTTAATGGTTCGAACCTTGTAAGCACACATCTGGCTGAATGCATGTAAAAATGACTCAGCATTCTTCCATGCTCAACACTGGTTCTGGCTGGTGAGAAGAGGACTGAGGCTTGTATGTCTCCCAATACTACATCAGCTTTTCACACATTCAGGTATAACTCCTGAGTAGGGCCTAAGGGCTTTCCCTTTGAAAGTCTCTCATGTTTTCCCACTGTTCTTTCTGAGGGTTTTTCTTATCCTTAAGAAGCTTGCATTAAAGAAGAGCCAAAGATAGAGGAGCTGCACTGTAACTTTTGATTGATCACTCTTAATGTTAATACTACTGGAGGCAAACCCAGTGCGTGGAAGCTTCTTGTGTCCAGCAGACAATTTTGTCTCCAAAAACCTGCTGTGGGCCACATTCCCTGGAACACTAGACCACCACCCACACACCCATACTAAAACAAAGTCAGAGGCAAATTTCCACTCCTTTAAAGAGAGGTGATTCTCCTTTTGCAGCTAAAATAAAATAGATAGGCTGGTTGCTTCTAGGAGGGGCACAAGAGTTGCAAAATAGACTTACTAGCTTAATGCAATCTGTAGTCTGCTTTACTTTAAAGAGATAGCAAGTAATTATGCTTTTTTCTTTCTCTCTACGTGCAAGAACATGGTTCTGCAGTTGGGATTTAGTAAAGTCATAATAAGTTTAGATTTAATGGCATAAATTGGGTTAAATTGAATGGGATAGTAGTTTTACCCTTTTGATTTTGTTGGGCATCCAACTCGGACTGGGGCCTTTTTTTCTATAGTTATTAAAATGTGACATGATACTGTGATATGTACTGCATCATGTCAAAGGCTTGTCTTCAAGACCTGGAGCTTTAAAACAAGACCACAACTTGTGAGGGGGAGTGTAAAAATGGAGCACCGTGTTAAAATTTTAGTCTGTAATAGGGCTCAAATAGTAACAGCTATATCTCCACACCCCTTACATTTTGTACAATCAAGAGTAAGAAAGACAAAACATATACCCCGATTCCCTGAAAATAAAACCTAACCTGAAAATAAGCCCTGGTATGATTTTTCAGGATGCCCTACCCCCAAAATAAGCCCTAGTTAACTGAAACCCCACCCTCCACCATTGCGTAGCAACCAGAAGATGACAGGACTCTATTTGAATAAATCTAGATTATTGTACATGAAAAAAAATCCCCTGAAAATAAGTCCTAATGTATTTTTGGAGCAAAAATTAATATAAGAACCTGTCTTATTTTCGGGAAAACGTGGTAGTTACTGGTGCGATTGCTAAGTAGGGTCACTGGTGAATTTCAGGTTAAGAAGTAAAAGTAGGCATTTGCTATCGCACATCAAGCTACATAATTGACTTACAACAGGGAATACTTATGCCAACTTCTTAACTTCATGTCAATTGAGTTCTGAAAGGCATAACTTGTAGGATTCCTGCCATTATTTAGTAACTGTTACACAAGGGACAACTTGGGATATCACCAGATTTCAGATTTTGGCACTGAAATATAAAATAATGGCAGGAATCCTGGGCAACTCTAGCTATTAACTGCATTGTTAAAGTAGCATCTAATTTGGTTCTGTGGAAATGAATCAACTTAAGGGCAACAAGCAGTAAGAGACAAAAGATCATAATTCTTTATTTAAGATTAAGTACGTATAAGTTACTACAATAGTAAAATCCTGTTCCCCAGCTATGTGTGCATAATGTGGAACTGCAGAAGATGTAGAAAGGATCCTGGCAGGGCAGAAATAATGTACATGAAGCACTTCCACAGGCATATCATTCAACAGCCATAATATGAATTGTATGATTCCCTGCACAATCAAATTCTGTAATGCTGCCTTGTCAGGCATAACACCTGGCATACTCCTGCAAATGGGAGTTTATATTATGCCAACTGGAATAGAATTTCAGCCACTATGTGCTAAAGGACCAACCTTTTATTTCACGTTATCAGGAGCGTAGGTTCCACGTTTTAGTTGTTACAGGAGAACCCAGCACAGACATTGCATGGACTGGTAAAGGAAAAAAAACTTTTGTTATTTTGTGCTATGACTCTCAAAGATGTATGGGGAATTCTGGGAGTTGTAGTCCAAAAGATGTAACTTAGTTGAAATAATTGGAATTAATTGCGTAGTTGAAATTGTGAAGAAAATTCAAAGTGGCCTTGGCAGCCAGATGGGCGGTATAGAAATCAAATAAATAAAGTGATTTGTGAAGGAAAATGAAAATATGTTTTGAAATAAGGAAATATGCTTGTGGTGCTCCGCACTATTTTGAAACATTTGCAGTTGTCTAGAATATTTCAGTGTAAATATTTTAACTTAACTTGGCAAGGAAGGAAGGCTAAAGACATTTATGAATTAGTTATTATCACAATCTAGAAGCAATTATTTATATATTTAATTGCTTTTTTTGCAGTAGGCAAATCAAAATAATGACGTAACACTATAATTTGGATGCAGCAAAGTACATGTTACTTCATTAGACCTGCAGAAATCTTGAATTAAGTATCCTGAGAAAAGCAGCTCACAGTTTGCCAGTAAATAACAGGGCCTGTAGCATTTGTTTTGTGGTGGTCTTCTTTCCAAAACACAAAACATATTTCAACTGAAAAATGAATGTTCATTCCAACATCAATCAATCATGAACTGCACAGAGGGACACCCAACCTGAACCTACCTTTTAAAACCGCCCCTTATAATTTCTGAGATATCCCCTTTACCCATGTTCTCCTTGTCTCCCGTATCTGTAATACAAAGTGCCTTTTAGCTGCCAGCTTCTTGTGGTGCCTGGCAAAATACTAGTCAAAAGAAACAGCTTTGTGTGACTGAAGATCTCATTCTGCAGAAAAACACAGATTGTAAAGCTCACATTCTTCTCACATGGAGAAGAGTCTCTGGTTTTATAAGGTATACATTTTAATGACACACTTACAATAGAGGAAATACAGATTTAGTAGTGCAATATCCTTTCTGTACATTAATGATTAGGAGAGGAGATCCGTCTCAGGAGGGTCATCAGTTCTTTTATTTCTGGTTATGCTTATAGTAGCGTATTGATTAAAAAGTGACTCAACTGACTCAGCTTTAATAAATTGAAAAAAGACTTATCAGTATTAGTTAATTCATGAAAAACCAACAATTGGCATTGGCTTTACCTTTACCTTTTTTTTTCCAGAAGTCTAGTTTTCAAAGCATGTTGGATTATGGTTTACAAGTGAGTTTGCAGATTATTTGGCATTTTTGTTGCCAGTGTAACAGAAACAAAGCCCTTCCCTTTTTTCTTTTCTTTTTTGCGAAATCATCTTTCAATTTCTTTCCCTAAAGCTCAAAAGGAAGTATTTCAACATGTTCTTGATACGTAAGCACTTTTTTTCTTATTGTAGAATAGAAGGATTCAGTTCTATAGAATACTGAAAATAACATTCACACTCTTATGACAAAGGCTTTTGTTGTTGTTTAATCGTTAAGTCGTGTCCGACTCTTCGTGACCCCATGGACCAGAGCACACCAGGTCCTCCTGTCTTCCACTGCCTCCCGGAGTTTGATGACAAAGTCTAATCTTCTATTTAAAAAGTTTTCCTTTCTGTACACAGACATGCTTAAGAAATCTGTTAATGAGCTATACCGTGTGAGCTAAATCATTAAAAAGGTGTACAGTTAATACTTTTTTAACCTGGTCCCTTCTTTCTTGAAGTAGGTTATTGCTAACTTGAATGTAGGGCAGTTTGTAGCAATACAGTACTATAAAAGCTACTTAAGTGATATTTAAGAACATAAGAGATTATGTTGCAGTTTCATCTTGTTTATACCCTGCCCCAGTTCTTCAGTCGTCTTCTTTTTAAATAATGAGTCCCCATTTTGTAGGACACAAGAAACAACCATGAAATATTTAAGAAAAAAATAAGTTAATATTTTTCCCTTTCTTTTCTGAAGACATTTCTAAAAGAATATGTAGGAATAGGAACTCTCTTTTTGTTATTATTAAAGATTAACGTATTAAACATTTGTTCTTCTTTATAATAATCTTTGAAATATATAGCACCATTTTGCTCTTTAAATAATAAGTTGAAGTGATCCCTTTTTTCTGATAATACTAGAAACAAGAATATTGAGATCGTTTTGGTTATTAATTCCTAAGTTGACACACCTATTTTGACTATAATTTTTCTGTAACACACATGCATACAATATTTACTTTTAAGTTCATTGCTTTGCATATATTTTGTATATCTTTTTATAGCTA